GGCATATTGCGATATGTTCAGCTCACGAGCCATTTTTCGTCCACTGCGACGCGGATTTCGTTCAATTCGCTTTTTCACTTTTCGAACCATTTCTGCCGATGTTGCTGTTTTTTTTCGTCCACTTCCTTGACGTCGGGCTACGCTACCAGTATCATGGTAACGAGCGATGGTACGAGACACAAAACATTTATTCACTTCTAAATGCTGGAGGGCTCTAACGATAGCCACTTGTGGTTTTCCAGCCAAATGCAAAGCAATCACACTATCACGCTTGAATTCCATCACAAATAACTTTTTTTTTGAAAAATTCCCACCAAAATGCTTTTGTGCGCTTGTAAACAATATAATGAGCTGTCACTAGAATAAATCTGACAGCTGTGGGACGAGCGGTTTAGAAATGACAGCAGTCTGAAGTTGGTTGCAGTTTTTTCATCTCACCTTGTATAGGTTCTTAGGAAAATACCTCTTTGATAATCTATCAGACTGCTCAACGGTAAAGATGAAAAACTTATTATATTACCTAAATTCGGAGGGATGGATTTAGTCTCTACTGTTTTATACTAGGGTTCCTGCAAGGAATGTGGTAGCAAAACGGTGAAAAATCGCTAATTGAGGTACATGGAAGTTATCGAATGGCCTGCCACTGCAACCAACCAACCAATGTATTGAGAAGTTTGAAAAATGAATTTCAGCTGTTTCTTGAGAAATTCATCTTTATTCTATTAAATCCAATAGATTCTATTTAAAAAAAAATTATCACTGCCGACATAAAAGGCAAATTAAATATGTTATATCAAATTTGCCTATGTTTAAAAGTTTTTCTTGATATGAGAAGATTTCTTTTACTGAAAAAAAACAGATAGTGTACTTTTCTTCTGAGATGGACTTGAAGTTTGTTAGGGCTGGGTTGAGCAGCATATCAACTTTTGTAAATAATTTTAGGACTCCGTCCCTGATATATTTTTTCACTGCGTCGATCCTAGTATACTATGGAATCTTAAATAGTCCTCTTATAGCCAGATTTTATGCAATCTGTAATTGCTTTATGGCAGTATTTGCGGCTTTGCTGTATGTAACACATCCGTATAGTAGTGCTGGCCTAATTATATGAGTATATAGTAACTTTCTATTTTTGATGTTGAAGTGATTATTATTGAACAGAGGCTTTAGAAGATGTAAAATTTTATAACAGCTATTCCGTTTGCATTTCATCCGTTCATACCAATTGAGCTGTTTGTCAAACGTGACCCCCAGATATTTTATGCTTTCCTCTCACCTGGTGCCTGGTCTGTATAATATGTTATCATGTTTCCTTATATTATTTCGGAAGATTTCTTTTATTTATGTTTAAAATTCTAAAGCGACAGTTTAATAACTATTTGTTAATATGACATAAATCAAATTTAAATGGTCTTAAAAATCTTCTTTTTAAATCAGAAGACTTCTTCTTATCTAAAATTTTAAATTTTAAAAACGACATTTTAATATTGATTTATAAACATAAAACAAATCAAATTTTAACATCTTTAAAAAAGTCAGTAGATTATCTTTTACTCAAATTAAAATGCAAATGACATAAATAAATAAATGTAAATATTTCATGTTTCACTATTCAGCGTTTAACAACCAATAACACGCTTCATCAAATAATATAATAAAGTAAAGCCGAGAACTTTTCATAGATAATTTCGACAAGATTGAATAAATTTTCCAATCAATCAAATCAAAATACAATAACAGCCCCCACATCATTATTTCCAACAATAATTGCGTCCACGTTAAGCTCATTATTTATTATATAATAAAAATATAATTTGATGCTTGTTAAAGTTGACACTTTCATTATTGGTCAATAAGGACTGTAGGCTAACCCACTGAACACACAAAGCCCAGTGAGTACACTCGTACTAGCCCAGTGAGTACAAAGCTAAGCTCGTACGAACACGGCGAGGTATTGCGAAGTGGTGTGTGGATTGAGGGAAAACTCACATCAGAGTTGCCTGTGAGGAAATTGAAACAATTTGTCATAAATTAAGGCAGTAATGAGTAAGTCACAAAGTGACAAATTAAAAGTCAAATTTAATAAACAAACTCTTCAGGGTACGAAAGAACCAAACCGGGGTATACGTATCTACAGATATGATGAAGTGTCTGAGAGCGAAGGCAGCTGTAGGCTAAAATGAAGGCGTTTTGTTTACTGCGTTAGCTTTGATAGAAAAATGTCATAATAATTTGAAGAGAAAAACAAAATAAAAGATAGTTAGATAAATGGTTGGAAAATTTCTAGAATTTATTGAACGCAAAGGATAAAGTTGACAAATAAAGCCATTTTGCACACGTCCACCACCTGCAGAGCTCACAAACAGCAGCAGTTGGCAGTTGGGAGTTGGGAGTGCGCAACAGTCTTCAATTAAATTACTGAAAAAGGAGATATCGATTGTGGAAAGGACACTATAGCTCGACATACTAACGCACGCGCCTACATATGCCGACAATTAAACTAATGATAAGCAAAAACGTGCAAAACATGTTACCAACGAGAAAAAATCTCATGATATGACATTTCGATGACAAAATTGCGTGATATCTCAAAAGTCAATAAAAATGTATTGAGTTCGCCAGGAGTTGTGACAATTTCCATTGCAAAATTCAGGATAATAATGCTACGTGAGAAATTGCTTGTTACAAAAATTCTAAAAATTTTCATTTATTTTTTCTGTTCTTTTTCCATACGATACGATATTTTATCATAAATGGCAGTTGACAGAGTGAATGGGTGGTTGGAGGCCGAAGTACCTTTATGAATTTTTGATGCCACAATTCCGTAGTCACTCAATTCGCAACATACGTTAACATATTCCATACTCGCCCTATATGCCACACTCGCATGTTGCATGCCTCATCCACTACCAGTCTGTATGCGTGCGTACGTTTGTAATATGTTGTATCTGCAACTGGGAGCATAAGTTGTGCGTGTTTGTATGCCGGTTAAGTAGCATCATTGCGCAATAAACTTGATTCAATTCACTCAATCAGAACGTATCTACCAAATAATAAATCATCACCATCATCAACCTGGGCACCAGCACTGGAGAGTCATTTTCTGTGCAAGCTGCGTGCTGCTTACTGCAGGCCAGGAATATTTTGTGGTAGGTGTGGTGCCTGCTCTAATCCATTTTACAGGACTTCAACGTATGCAGAATTCCATACTTTTAAAATGATTTTTAATGCAATTTGAAATTTTATTTTTAATTGCTAGAATTAGTTTTTCTATGCATAGACAAAAAAAATTTATTTCACATACATATATTGATTTATGGGGGGGATGAATAAATATGCTCTGGGAAATAAAAATAAATAGAAGTAGAAAATATGTTATATGTTGTAATATATATGTAAACATATAAAATATGTTTGTCAAAATTTAGATACCCTTTACACACAACTCTGAGCCTACATTGGGGAATCTACATAGCATACGTAGTATACATCTACATAGTATATACATATAGATATTATTTAAGTTGCCGTGTTCTTAAAAGCTAATTAATTTAAATATGCTTTAGAAAGCAAAATATGAAAAATTAAAACATAAATAAATTATAATATAACCTTAGTTATGACGGTGGTGAGTATATTATTTAATGGGAACTATTGTATTCAATAGAGAGAGTCAATTAGAACAACAAAATTTTATATTATTTTTAATAAATTGAATTTTTGGCTGTCAATACAGCTATTTCGAGTATTGCCAAATACCCATCATCAGTGGTCTTGGAATTATTTCTTATATTTAATTATTAGTAATCAATGTTTATGTTTATGTTGAAGCTAGATAAGTCTGAGCATATAAGAACTTTTACTCTCTATTAACTGCGAAGTTTCTTCATAGTCCCTCTCTACGCCTTGGCTAGATTATTGTTTATCACTTCAGCAGACTAAACAATATATGACTTCAAATCTACATACCTCCCCGAGGAGCCTGTAACCATTCTAAGATTTGATAACGCGGTGTTGTCAGTTTTCGTAAATAATTTCAGGACTGTAATCATTATGTATTTTTGATCGGATCAATCTTGAGGAACTGAGGATTTCATTCATTCTAATATACCATGGTACCTGGAAAAATCTTCAAAGAGCCTGACTATGTGCACTTTCTAGCTTTCTGAATATTTTTTATTTAGTGTTATATCTTTATTTATTTTTTTTTGTGGTGCCGATGTAGTAAGTTCTACGTACCGTCAAAACGATCATCGTCGAAGTGATAATCCCAACTCTTGACGTAATTTGTAATAAACGGACTAAATCACATTCTCTTCGAAAAAAGACTTATTCTCCCCCAAAACCGCTTTCACATTACTATGGGAAGGGACTCTTCTATATTAGCGTTGCAAACCATGATCTTTTGATTCTTGATCTCCGCCAGACTTCCACTTTTTCACTGCATTTGTTGATGTCTGTCCTATTTATTACCCTAGCTTCTGTTTCTCATTTTTAGATCTAATTTCGTCGCTTTGAGATCTTGAACCGCATATGATCATTGGTCACCATTTTTCAGGGCTTGCTCTCATATTTTCCACTATACTATCGGAATTTATTGTTCCAGGCATTATAATCGATAACGGTGTAGAAATAAAAAGGAAGAAGAAACCGTAATCATCTTCTCTGTTCCCTTCTAGAGCGCAGCAAAAGATCAGTGACTACATTAGGAATTCGTAACATAGACAAAATTGTGCTATTAGGGCTGATTACTTTAATTAAAGACCCAACTGATCTTAGTTAATAATATCAAAACTGATCAAATTTATTTTAAGTAATGTTTTATATTGAAAACTTTGTAAAAAATAACAGTTAACCGTTTTTAATATGACGTTAGAGATATTTTCAATTACGATTATTCCTAATTCAATTACATATTTATTAATCGATATAGCATTGAATTTATCAGATATTCTTATTATATTCTTTTCAATTTAAAAGTTTTAATAAATCATTTTTATATTTTTCTACTAAGACTCAGTTTCAATTTTTGTCCCAGAAAATTTTGAAGAAAAATTTTATTGTGATAATTTATTACAAATTAAGAGAGTTCCATAAACGAAATACCAATTTGAAGAGTTCTGATCTGAGAAGGTAACTTAGACTTGCTAATTGCGAATCGCTTTCTTTCTTTTCCTATTCATTCTATTCTCTGCAAAATGTATGTTCTAATTAGATTCTATATTTTCCATTTTAAATTCATGTTTTACAGATTATTACCGCATTTTGCGAAGAGCAGAAGAATTCTCCGACCGATATTGGGTAAGTTAACTTATATACATAGAGAAAATTACTCTTTTTATATTACATTTATCTCTACTTCTGCGTATTTTATTATTATATCTATCCGCTATAAATAAAGTAATCTACTATTACTTTCTAGCAGAAAAGAGGATGTGCATAGTCCTTATGGTTCTAGTAGAAACTAGTTATAACTATAATTATAACTTACCAGTACCATAACACAAATTTCGCTTCGTGGTCGTTTCAAGTGATCCACAAAGCACTTTAACTGTTTTTATAAGCAGTAATATTGATTTATAATCATTTTATGTTAGCCATAATACTTTTGTAACGATTTTACAAGTCTTGGTTTTTTTGTGCGTCAATTTAAAAGATAATCCTTTTTTGTATGGATATTTTAATATATCCATACAAGATTACATGTATTTCGCAATAGGGTCAAAGTATGACATACATTACTGAACAACACTTTTTTTTATCAACGTGACGAAGCACAGAAAGCCAGATCACCGTGGCCAATTATAAATATACACAATATCAAATTTACATTTGACGTGACCATGACTGTTTGCATAACATGGCCCTTACTAATACGTAAATAGCAGCCCACATATTTATCTATCCATATAGCATTGAAAATATCAAATATATTTATATAACTTTCTTTTCAATTTAAAAATTTTTATAAACCATTTTTATTTTTTTATATTTAGATGTGTTTCCCGATTTGTTCCAGAAAAATTTTATTGTGTGATATATTTTTTACCAACAAAATCGTAGCCGATTTGAATAGGTCTTATCCAAAAAGTTTATTTAGACGTGCCAATAACGAATACGTTTTTCCTTTTTGGATATTCTACGAAGACTAGGAAAATTCTCTCGCCGATATTGGGTAAGTTCATTTATATTATTTATATATATTATATATATTTTTTATATATTGTATTAATTTTCGTTTATGTACACAGAGAAAATGTTATAAAAAATGTTTTTGTTTAAAAGTAAAATATGATATGTGATGTCTTCTCTGTACATGTTTTCTGCTCATGACCAAAAAAAACTTAAAATTACCGTAGAATTCGTCGTAACTCATGACGTATTTATTAATCGATATAGCATTGAATTTATCTGATATTCTTAATATATTCTTCTTTTCAATTTAAAAATTTTTATAAATCATTTTTATATCTTTCTACTAAGAGTCAGTTTCAATTTTTGACCTAGAAAATTTTGAAGAAAAATTTAAGAGTGTGAAATTTGTTTATAAATTGGTAGAGTAGTTCTAAAGAATATCCAATTTGAAGAGTTCTAAACTGAGAAGGTAATTTAGACTTGCTAATTACATATGCCTTTTTCTATAAATTTTATTAATTCATTGTGTTATGTCCAAAAAATATATTTGATTTAGATTCTAATTTGATCCATTTTTTACAGATTATTAGAACATTCTATGAGAAGTACGAAGATTTTTTCACCAATATTGGGTAAGTTTTTTTACGTACTGAAAGGAAAAAATATTTTTTTATGGTATATTTTGTCATAACATTTGTATATTAATAACATAACTCGTAACGACAACGTAACAAAATTCGTGGTATGGCACTATCAAAAGCAGATGGAACCTGTCCTGTATCCAAACAATTTATGAAGCAATTTACATTTTGTTGAACTGTTACTAATTTAAAGGAGAAGATTTATATCAACAGGACAGCAAAATTGCATAGTATATAGTACTCTTCGTCATTTCATGGTTGCATTAACCAGCCATCAGTTTCCATTGTATTTGAAAAATGCCTTGAATTAGTAGTATGACATAAGTGTCACATAAAAGAGGTTAATTCTGAGGCCATTCCGAATTATCCACAATGTTTTATGACTGTTTTTACAAGTACCGTAACACGAATTTCGCTTTGTGGTCGTTTCTACAAAAGGTGAGTTATAGTACTAGCAAAAATAGTACCATAACATAAATTTCGCTTTCTGGTCAGATCGACTAATGCACAATCCGTTGTGGGTTTTTTTCAATCAATGATATACACCTTATATACCTTAAAATATACACTAAAGTTAAGACATTGATGTCTACATATAAACCTTATTACGAGTTTTCGAAAACAGTCCTCAATATGTATATTCCTTATTTAGGATAAAGAATTCATTATTTGTCAGAAGTTTCCACAAGATTAGTTTCCACAAAATCCATTAAGATTAAATTACACATCATATTTAGTAATTGCAAATAAATCGAACTGTACTATACCATATATACAATTATTTGGTATATAGATATAGTAAGTCGCGTAATCTAAAACAAGCACCAGCTACACCCGCCCTTTAATTAATATAAACGCTTGTTTAAAGCGTTAAAGTTTAAAGCCTCAGATCTTGTAGGTCTTTATATTTTAATTTCAATAAATTTATTACAGATTGTTAGAAGACTGGGCTTGACCTGCTGGATAGTAAATTGGATTCTTGGAATTAATTCCCTTATCGTTGTTGGGTAAGTTCAATTATTTAAAAACTTCAAATTTTTGGAATCCTTTTATTACAGCAATATTTTTTATTATATTTACACATATTATTGTTATATGGATTTATTTACATAAGTTGAGGCTAGTTGAGTCATTGCGCTTGAGCACTCTTACTCTTTATTAACTGCGTGGTTTCATCGTAACCCCTCTCTACACCTTGACTTCTTCAGTCTAAGCAATAACTGCCCTCAGATCTGCATACCTTCTCGAGGGGTCTGTAACCATTCCGAGATCTTCATATAGATTTTAAAGATGGATGGCACCATAGCGCCATCCATTCGTCAATAAAAATTCCAACTAAAAGTATCTATTTTATGTATTTCTATTAAACATATCCAATGCAAATTGGATATTTATATATCGATATTTATATACGTCTTAAAAAAATATTTTTAGCAATCAATATCTCATTGAAATTATGTGGAAACTGACATTTAGTTTTCCTTCCAATTTTAATATTTTTGAAAATTAGATTTCACTTTTGATTCTAAAATGTGTTTCAAATTTTGATCGTAGAAAAATAGTTAAACTAAATTTTTAAGTGATAATATTAATATTACCTCTTAACCTCTTACTTGAAGGAAGTAAGCATACAAAGTCATTTTTTGTGTTTATGGGTTACAGAAGTTCCAGAACGACACCAGCTCTATTCAGAAGGTCTTTAATAATTTTATTTATTTTTTTTATAGATTTTTTCAGATTTTTAACTTTTTACTCTTAACAATATTTTTTATTTAGAATAGGTTTCTTGCAAGCTGGTTCACTTACTCCCACATCGTTCATTTAGGACAGCAGGTGAGTTACTATATTTATTTTTAAAATTTTAGACGTTCTTAAGTAGGCTTTATTTTTTTATAATTATTATATTGCAAGGCCCTCAACCCTCGTTAATTAATGACAGCGGGTAAGTAACTATATGTATTTCTATAATTTTAGACATTCTTTATAATAGACATTTTTAAGTGGGCTTCTTTCTTTATAATTCCATTGCAAGACCTTCAACCTTCGTTAATTAAAAACAGCGCGGGTAAGTCACTATAATTATTTTTACATCTACTTTATTACATTTGTTCTTCTTTTAGGCTTCTTTTTAGTATTCCTTGTTAAGGACCAGTTCTCTTACAAGAACTTATTTCTGACCTCGTTGGTTAAAGACAGCTGGTAAGTTATATTTAATTTTCATGTTTGCTTATATTATGTTTTACTCTATAAAAACTTCAACAGTGATCATACTTGAAAGGATCTCAATCGATAAAATGCCAACAAATGTAGCAGATGTAAGTAACAGCCTCTATCAATCTTAATCATTTTATAATTCACTTACATATCCATTTGGCTTAATAAAAATCTGAGAAGAAGTAAATGTGATATGAATTTAAATTGAAATGTTTACTAACTCCTTTCTTTTCATAAATATTAGTCATCTCACGGATTGCTTTCAATCAAAATACCAGACGTTGAACCAACTCCTGCAAGCGCTAACGGTTTCTTAAACTATCTTCGAGACTATTGCAAAACGCATGCCGACAAATCGTCTGAACAAATATTGATGTCCACAACTCATCAATGGAATGTAATGAGTGATACTCGGAGAAATATGTATCGTGAAGTAGTAAGTTAAAAAAAATTTATATTTAAAATTATTATATATGGATTTTTTGGAAAATTATTTATAGGGAGATGCTTGCGGAGGATGCCCTAAAAAAAAGAAGAACCCTTGTAAGAAAAAAAAACCCAAGTGTCCAAAGAAAAAAAAGAAAAATCCCTGCAAGAAAAAGAAGCCAGCATGCCCTAAGAAAAAGCCGAAGTGTCCTAAAAAAAAGAAAAATCCCTGCAAAAAGAAGAAGCCTCGCTGCCCCAAGAAAAAAAAGAAGACTTGCGGCGCAAAGAAGCCAAAGTGCACCAACCCTGGCCCGCTTACAAATAATGCATACTTGAATTATCTGAGATACTTCCGTCGTAACAATTGTGGCTTGGACCCAAAAGATATTATCAAACAAGCGGCAAAATGTTGGTGCAAACTACCTCCTGAAAAACGTTTGCGCTTTGAGAAGCAGGTATGGTATATACGAGAAGAATAACAAATTGATCAATTATTTTCATATTTCTTTTTTTTTGTTATGGAAAAATTGATAATATAAATTAACGTTTTGTTAGGCCTGTAAGATGACCACATCTTGCCGTCGTAAGAATACCAAGCTTTGCAAAGAAGCCCGTAAGCCTAAAAAAAAGAAACCCTGCTGCCCATAAAACAGTTCGACGAAGAGTATTTTAGAAAATTTGTTATAATTGGCCAAATCGCAAACTACACATTGACTAATCTTACTCTTATGCAATTTGATGTCTGGCATCAAAGAAACTATATTTAGGCGAAAGAATTCCAAATAAGTCCACATACCCTTTTGTCGCAGAAAATACCAAGAGCTCGACTGGTGCTATTTACTTTAGAACTGTAAAATGCAGATTGAAAATACTGTATTTATGCAACTAAGACCTTATCTCCGACATGAAGAAACTTACATAAAGACGAAGCATATCTCTTTTGTAGTAACAATGATGCATATAAAGTACCGAGGGTTCAACGAAAATTAGTGGCCATATAACTATTCACCGCATATTATGGACTTCATATTATGGATTTTAAATTCAATCAACCTAAAATACTCTTCAGTGTCAAGCAAATTACATATTGGCACAAAAACTGTCAATGTCTTCAAATCGACCCAAGGAGTACCTCTTAATTACAGTAAGGGGGTCTTAAATTGTTTTTAGATAAAGCTTATATATTTTATATAAGTACCTAAACCTAAACTCTGTTTTTATATTTTTTATTTATAATACAATTTAGCGCTAAATTTTAATTATTTGGAACATGTGTAAAACAAAATTTTTTTAGGGATTTTTTTGACAAAGAAGTGGATGAATTTAAATAACTGTATTCTATTTTAGAAAGTGATATTTATAATAAAATTTGGAGGAAAATAAATTTTAAGTATATGTTAAAAAAAAACAAAACAATTGTTTTATTTCCATCATAATTTACCCACATAGTAAATTCTATATTTAGGCGGTATTAAAAATTTAAAATAAAAGATATAAATGAAAGTGATTTTTCAGATGTCCTGTTTTTATTGGACTATGTATAGATGTTTATTCGATATTTTATCTTGATGTGTGGAGCAGTGCCTTTCCGTTTGCATGAACACGGAGAGGTTATACCTGCTAATATAAGTAAAGTTTATTGTTATTTAAAAAATTTTGGAATTTGTATACCCGGGTAGATGTGTTGAGAAACTAGTGATGTGCTGAGGGCATGGATTTGTATGCACCGAGGTGGATTTGGGCCCGTGAGGGTGACGAAGCTTCAGTTTGTTAGTTGGCGGTTTAAGAACTGGACATCAAATTAAAAACAAAATACAATTTTTTCGATTCTTGGATAAAAAAAAATCTCCTCCTCATTTTATATATTTTAAAATAAATTAGTTAACAAATACATTTAAGATATACACATATACTGCTAAGAGCGAAATTATATTGTAATCGATATTTAATCACATTGAAAATTTAAGTACCGTATGGGGAGACAACTACTTGATAACCACTGCTCTACAAACAGAAGTATCGTATCTGGGACTGTAAACTTCTAAAAGTTTATACAACGGTTTATACAATACTATAGTATCTGAATGAAATAAGAAAAAAATGTCAGACTATTGAAGTATAAGAAGGAATAAAGTTGTTATATGATGTTTATACAAAAATAAAATATATAAACTTAATCTAATATTTATAAAAGATTTGATTTTATAGAGTATTAATGCATTTAAGTAATTTTTCCATATATTATATGAAAATATTGTATACCTCAACCATATAGCAAATTCACACATTTTTTCGAATTTAAATTCGAACATTATTAGATTGCCATCTGACGTGAAAAATTTAGCAAGGATATAAATTTCGTGGTGAATTTCTAAAAACACACCTCATGAACTATATTGACCAAATTTCGTTTTCATATTAATAGACATAAAAATTTCTCTTCGATTCTATTTTAATAAAAAATTTCTTTCTGTTGGTTATTTATTTTTACAAATATTCTTTTAAATATATTAAATATACTACATAATGAAAGGATATGGTATTTATGGATAATAATTTAATTTTGTGTATTAAATTATGTTATTGATTTTGGATTTACCTTTACACATCCCTTGATTCTTCTTCTTCTTGAGTTAGTGCTATTACGCACTTTTACTCTATAATGGCTGGGGGGCTTATCTCTACCCCACACTAGGCTTTAACTAGGCTAAAAAAAAAATATCATTTATTTGTCTTTTAGTTGATGACGGACCTTAAATCAGCATATCTTCCTGAGAGTCCAGAAGTAGATAAAATAACAGAATTTTATTTAGGGGGAAAATACAATTACATATATTTATATATAACTATGTAAGTGTATATTTCATTAAATTTTATGAATAATTTGAAATTAATATTAAATTAATTAAAAATTAAAAAAAATGAAATTATATTAATTAATATAATGTATTATAAATGAACGTTATAATAAATTGATATGTTTTCAATTAAAAATAAATGGAGAATATATTTATTATACTGAAAATATATTTTTAACAAAAAAATATACAATACGTGATTGTAATATATAATATATTTTTATATCACAATTATTTTTAAACATCTATTAATTTAATTAATGCAAATTTTCGATAAAAACACTTTAAAATAATAATTTTAAAAATATAAAAACAAGCAAAATTGATTTCTACTGAGTATATTTATTATTTAATGCTCTTGTAGGTAACCACATATAGCTTTTAATAAAAATCATCCTCTTCAGATGAGGACGAACTTCAACCCTTGGTACTTGAAGTCTCAAAAAATTATTTTCGAATTATTAAATATAAGTAATAATTCCAAGACCACTGATGCTGGATATTTGGCAAACCTCGAAACAGTTGTATCGTCAGCCAAAAATTCCGTTAATTAAAATAAACAAAAATTTTTTGTTGTAGTTCTCTAGTTTTCGAAACCTCCAAAAAAAATGTATTTTTATAAATAGACTTGTTGCATTAGTAATGAATATATTGTATAATTATTTCCTTTATATTTTAATTCATGTTTTAATGTTAATGTGTTGTATAATTATTTCTTTAGGATTTATATTAAATTATTGCTACAATGGTACATTACGACGAATGACATCCTCAAGGACCTCAAGATTGATCCGATCAAAAAATACATAAAGGATAGAGCACTGAAATTATTTACGAAAACTGACGGCTTACCAACACCGTATTATCGAATCTCAGAATAATTACAAGCTCTTCGGGGTGGTATGCAGATTAGAAGTCAATTATTGCTTAGTCTGATGAGATGATAAACAATAACCTAGTCAAGGCGCAAAGAGGGGTTATGAAAAAACCTCGTAGTTGATAGAGAGTAAAAGTGCTCAAGTGCGCTGTCTCAACTAGCCTTAACATAATTATTATTGCTATATTATAAGAATATTTTCGTATCCTGAAGATAATTATAGAATATAGTCGAAATACTGATTCAAATAAAATATTTCGAAAAATAAAACATTTCTTTAAAAAAATATATTATTTAACTATTGACCAATTACCCCGTTAAAGAAACAAAATTATAATTGGATAATTAAAAAAAATTTTTAATTATAAATATTTTTATATATTATAAAATAGAATTAGTAATTAATAATAAAATATATAAATACTTTTAATGCAAAAGATAAAAAAAAAATTTTATATAAAATAGATTTAAATAGAAAATGGAATTTAAGTTCAGTTGGACACATATCCTTTACTCTGCATGAACCAACTTCTTTCGAAAGGATCCACCAAAAAATACATAGAATGAAAAAAATAAATATTGGCAGATTGTCAAAATATTTTTCCAATTAAAAACATTTTTAATTTTACATATTGTCTCAGTTGTCTAACTTTATTTAATAACTCTTGTTTTATAAAAAAACATATTAAAATTATTTTTTGTTTTTTCTTTCATAAAATATAAAATAAAAATATATCCTCGTAAAGTACTTTCATTGCATACGTCGCACTTGAAGTTGAACAAAGTCAAGTCAAATCTCTCATAAATGTACAAGCAATAAAAAAAGGAGGAATAATGAAGAGTGGCTTAAAAAGGACATTTACGCTAAGTCGACCAGTGTGTACTGCATATGTGGAATATATACAACAACCACCGAAACACCCCACCCACCCACATAGTGTGTCACATAATCCTCATACTTCTTGAATATCTCATTTTACCACTTCGCTTTATGGCAGATTTCAACCATAATTTTTAAAATTTCAATTTTTTTATTACATTTCACAATTGAATTGCAATGATTCGGTCGGTGCGAGAGCGGAGGGAGCGGTAATAAAAATGCATAATAAAAGCAAAAAAAAAGAAAAAACAGAAAAGATTTTTCATAGGAACATAATTTTTTTTAATTGAAAAATTTTGCGACGCTCACATTACACAAAATGAGGAAATGATTTAATTTAGTTTAAATACGTCTACATATCCGCCATCTAGCGGTCGGTCTTGCAAGCAATTACGCGTATGTGAAGCCTTATTCCCGCTTTTAATTTGCATAAAAAAGCCTTTATGTTATTAACGTTACTGTTTTTTTCTCATCCTTTCTTCATTTGTTAATTCATTTCGAAATGCGCAATTAAGAACTTAAGTCCTTTATTTTTGTTGCAATTGCGATTGCACTGACATTTCATAAAAGCAAAGTGATGCTCATTTAGTGCTAAATTGCGAGTCCTTTTAACATAATTTTTATGTAGCATTTCCAAGGACATATTACACATGTCATTAGTTTTGCAAAAATTATATAATTTTCTACTATTAAGTTTCTATTATGGCAGAGAAAACGAGATTTTTTAATCAAAGAGCTTTATAAGCATCGGTAGAGGTTAAACTATAGAGCTTGCCATCGTAATTATAATCCTTTGACAAACTTTTAAAAAGATGTAGAGGATGTTGTGTGTGGGTTATATAAATATACCAAAGGGAAGACAAACTTTTCTGAATTTAACAATTTGTCATTATAGGCCATTGGTTGATAACTATATTTATACAGCATGGCTCAGTGGTGAATTCTGGTGAAGTTGTAGTGGTAATAATTGAACATTGATTTTCTCTCATTATCCACTTCACTCCAGATAGAGAGATATTATTAGTTTTCTGCTATGGAAATTAGTAGAGTTGGATGCAATTTAGATTTGTTCTGCAGACTTTATCGTTCATTAGTGTCGAGCCAAATCTAATGATTGAAGAATAAACTTAAGAAGTAAACCCATAGGAATACTTCTTTTCGTTTTTTCTTTGTTTTTGGACTTCATATTATTATAATAAGTTAAATAATAATCACTTACTATATGCTTCGAACACAAGAATACATACAACTACTATTTTAGTAGTATATATTTGCTTACTCATATATAAG